AGCTGCTTTGAACAGTTGCAGACAGGTGTTACTTTTGTGCTCCTCTGGGCTCTGAAGCACCCTTTTGGGATCAAATGCAAAATGCATAGCCAGTCCAGGAGGAGTTAATGCTTCCAGAAGAAATGGAGTCATTTAACACTGCCAGGATCTTCTTAGATCCAGATTTTTGAAAGGACATTATTCCAGTAAGAAATAGCGTCCAAGTGGGCATCTCAGAATAATTTTGGCACCCTGCTAACCATAGCAGACATTGGACTGCTCTATACTTTCCAGGAGGGAACTGCAAAAATCACCTCTGTGGGTGGTTGTTGACTAAGAACTTACGCTAGCTGACCCACTTTGCTGGAATACATGTTCCATATTTATATAAAGGAAAAACAATAGGAACCAATTACTAGCTGTATCCACAGAATATTACTTCTATCAACTCTAGCTTTCTATTTCTTTTAGGGAGATGGAGCACCAGCACTGATGGAGGTGGACAGAGTTAATGCTATTACCCTCCTGACTGAGTCCCATATATTTCTCAACAGCATGGTATTGAAATGCATCCAGAAAAAGAAGGGTAAAAAAATGATACACAGTCACACGAGGCCCCCGTCTTACTGGCAGATGGTCCTTTTAAGAAGTTACTGATTTGTTGAGTCAAAGCTTATTTGTTAGGAAGTACATAAAACTTTTCCATTACCTGAAATCCTGTGGGTACTCAGAAATAAATTCAACTATATTCAATGGGGCTTACTTCTAAAAAAACCCCAAAAACCTCTTAACATTAAACATCCCATGGATGCCTTAAAAGCAGAAATATATACATTCTCAGCCAGGAACTGACTGGGCTTCTTCAGGGCTGCCTCAATGGAAGTTGAGAAGAAACCAAGAAAAATTGGAAGCAGCAAGAGCACCTGCCTGATTGGGGCGGGCACTTCACTGCGCATTGCAAGTGCTTTGCGCGGTTCAGAAATCAAGCTCTGCTCACTCTATTGTTCCTGAGCACATATCAGGATCAATCCTCTCTACCCCTTCACACTTCCAACTATAGCAAAAGCAAGGAGGACGCCTGTTTTCCTTCAGCCTCATTCCCAAGTCCAATTATGGAGATGTTGGACAGAAATGCTACTCTGCTGACATTTGGTGATGTCAAGGGGCATGTGCAAACCACATCCCCAGCTGTTTTACTTCTGGGTTGTCAAATAAAATTTAAACCTCCTCCAAATTTCCTTCTCCCCCCTTCACTTCTGCAGGAATAGCCTTGGCTTTTCTTTCCTCTGATCTCTACATCCAGCCATCTGCCTGCCACAGATGGGGTTTTTTTGGGGGTGGTGGTGGTGATACAGGGGTGTTGGGTGGAATAAACATTTTCCAACATCTCTATCATACTGAGTTGAAAGGTCATGTCCTCCCTCAAAGCATGAAATTTCTGCAAGCTTGCTCAACTGAAAGGTTCTCCCCCCTCCAAAAAAATCAGGGCACGGAATGCAATGTTTACTATAGTGAGAAAGCACAGGCACCACTAGCTGAATTTCAGGGTTGCTGTGCAAGATAATAGGACCTTGATTATCTTTACTCCTGAAATAGTAATGTCACAATTTAAATAACTCATAATTATTAGGGGAAAAATGAACATGCATACTTCAGAGTTTCAAACAACTGTGCTAAAATCTTGAACATTGCTTTCTTATAACTGCTAAGACAAGGATGCCTGCTGCAATACAGCTGTTTAGCTAAGGGTTGCACACAGGTTGAAATACTTTCCATATGTCTAGAGAGGCAGTTATCAGGCCTTGGGATCTTTCAGCCAGGTATCAGAATGACAGACATGTTATTATGCTGGGCAGAAACTTTTAGGTGACTGAACAGCATTTATCATTAAAAAAAAAGAAGAAAAGAAACAGCACACTCTGTTTCCTTAAAAAGTAAAACTTGATTGCCAGCCTTTAAATTTACTTTGCAGCCCATTATTCCAGAATTCTGGCTACATCTTCACTTCTGCAAGGTTCAGATGAGGGTTTAAGACTTGAAGACAGACACAAATGCTAGGCAGGTTTTTTAGAATGATAGGGATTGGTGGGATCATGAAGTGAAAAAGATTGCGGATGAGAAAAATGCATATAACAGAATCGCTATAAAAATGAGCATCAATGTTGATATACAATGCATATGTACAGAAAAGAAAGTTGCAAAGAATGTAGTAAAAAGTGCAAGGCATGGTTAAGAGAGGCAGAGACAGCACAGAATGATTTTGATGGAAATAAAAAAACTATCTTGTGAGTGGGTGAAAAAGTTTAAAAAGGAGTCTCAAATAGAATGAATGGAATTAAAAAATAAAAGTGCTAAAAGATTTAAGATGCGATTGAAGGAGATGCTGGAAGGAGAATTTTAGAGATTTCTATGGGAATGATCACTGGCATTATTTTCTTGAAGAGTGGGATTGAAACAAATGCTATAAATGTTACTGTCCACAGGGAAAAAAGTGATGAAAAGTGAGTAATAAATGCAGCGAGAATGCTGAAAAAAATATGAGGCTGCCAGAATAGACAAAGTAACTGGAGAAATGTTCAAGTCAGGATGTGAATAATATGAGGTGGCTTTGTGAGTTATTTAACATGCGTGAAGACCGTCTGTGCCTGACAATTGGAAGAATGCTGTTATTGTTCCTTTGGAGAGGCAGCAAAAACTACAGGAAGAGATTAGGTTCCTGCTTTGGCAGAATTATGACTGAAAAGGTAGAGAAATATCAATGAGTAAAATTTGGGAAATACCAAGCAGGAGTGTGCAGACTAATTCTTTGCTCTTCAGCAGCTCATATGAATATGAAAACACTTTTTGTGCATTTGTTGATTTAGAGGAAGCAAGCAACAAAGTGAATAGACTTGAATTATGGAATGGTTTTCCTAAATTGAAGTTGAAAGTTGCTTGCTAAATGGAGTAATATGATGGAAACAAAGCACTTGTGGAAATAAACGGAATGCTTAGCTAATGGTTCAAAACTGAGCAGGGACTAAGAATAATATATCCCCATGGTTGTTTAATGTATTTATGGATACATGTATAAGGATTGTTGTTCAGACAGTAGAGGTGTTAGGGGCATGAATGTGAATGCAGGCAATATTGTGTTGATGGGTGAGACCCCGTATGATTTATAGTGAATGTTAAATAGTATGATGCCATGAGGAGCAGTCTATATGAAAATTAATAGATCAAGATCAAGGTGGTAAACCACTGCAAACTATACATAACTAGTGAAAAGCAGAACAAGTAGGCAAATTTATGTAGCTTGGTGAAATGTTGACCAAGGGTGGGAGTATGAATGGAGAAATGTTGGAGACATACAAGTGCTGGTAGGAAGATGGTGGGTAGTATGTGGTCTGTTCCAAGGAATGTTTGTTGAAAGAAACAACAATGACTATGCATAAGAGCACGTTGGAGTACAAACAAGAAATTATAGATCCAGGAATGAATGGCTGCTGAATGAATGCAGACAAAGTCCAAAACAGAACTGGTGTGAAAGGAGTATGGTGAGGTGATTTAGTCACATAAAGAGAATGAATAAGGATCAGATTTCAGAACAAATATATGAAGGAAAAATGAATGTATCAAGGAAGTTACGATTGGGTGCAGCTGATGAGATCCTCAAAAAGAAAGAGGGGACAAGTTTAAAGAACAAAGGTCTTTGTATAAATCAGTGTATGGATGGGTTGGAATAAGGATGGTTTGCAAGGATACAAAGGTATTGAGAGGTATAGTGAATGGTATTGGTGTAAATTCGATTCAGATATGTATTTCCTTTTCTCTTACCTAATGCCTCAATTTGTTAGGCTTACAATTTCTAACCCATTTTCTTTGCTTTGCATAATGAAAAAGAATAGCATAATGGGTATGCTAATATATGTATCCCTTTACATAAAAAGCAAGCTCATTGCTTCTAGTCATTCTGAAGTGCCAATGAAATAGGATTGTTAGTTAATATATTGAGAAAAGACATCAACTGCAAATTCTCCATCCATCCCTTTTCCATTTGGCAGAAGGTCAACAGAATGTTATGGACTAATTGCTGAGAAAGGTCAGCCTTGCTTAAATCCACAGAATTTCCTAAAAAGAGAAAGACACCATAGAAACATTTTCCCCCCAGGGAGTTGTTGGGATCCACTGTAATTGGAATAATATTTTAGAAGCACTCAAAGTTCTGTAAAAAGCAGCTTTAAGAACAAATCATAAGTTCACAAGCTAGGGAAAAATTACAGACAGAAACACATACACTGGCAAGAATCAACATCAAAGGCAAGAGTCTTATGGAATGAGAAATGGGAAGAACATTATGTTTAACCTGTGTGTTTTTTTTAAAGAAAGAAAAATTAATCAAGAAACATTCTCTTCCTCAATATTCTTCAGTTTCACCCATAATACACAATGCAAAGCCTGAGGCAAAGCAGCCGTTTATGCAGAATGAGACGTGTTGCAGAAATTCCCTCATATTAACATTCCCACCTGCCTTCTGCCCTTGAAACTCACAGACATCTGAGAAAAGAGTATACATCTGGACATTTTGCAAGGATTTACGAATGTCAGGATTTATTTATCACGACCCCTCACCCCACCCTGTCTTTCAAATGCTTCCGATCGATTATGGGTGCTGGATAAGAGGAAATGCTGACTCACTCTAATGAGTTTTTTTGATCCAACAAATCCCTTCTATACAGTGTCCACTGAAGTATTCCTGCTCAGCCATTTTCTACTGGAGATGCAGGAAGAGGCTGGAATATTCAAAACTAATTAACAAGGGGGTTTGTTTAGTTTTCTTCCAGAGACAAAAAAAGGAAAACCTAAAGGAAAACAGAAAAATGCTGTAGGGCAGTAAGCAAACCACTGTCAAGGTAAAGGTCAGAGTGGACTCAAATTTCTGCTTAGATATTTTGAAGTAAACTATGCAGCTAAACAGTCTTTGCCTTCCAAGGGTTGTCTTTCAGTGCAGCAATGAAGAAGAGTCATTCTGCTGAAGGAGGCCTTCCATCACAGAGCATCTACCACGATGCACAGGAAGGGCAGGAGAATTCAGGATTTGTGCCCAGGTGGGTGCTGTAGCCAGGCCTTCTTTTCTTCTGGTGGTTATTGCTTGGGCATGGCAAAATCCCAGGCGGTCTCCTGGGCACATTTCCACATGGCTCTCATGAGCCGTGTAAAGCCCATGTCTTTGGGTTTCTCCAACCCCCTCATAAGCCTCTGCTTCATGATGGCCACAAATTCTTTGTTGCTCAGCTCTCCATTTCCTGAGGGAAGAAAAGGGAAGGCCAGTTCAGAGGGTGGGAAATGTAAACAGACGAATCAGACACTTTTGCAGCAGCCAAAAAAAAAAAAAAAGTTTAAAAATGATTATTTTCCCTCTTGAGAAGAAACACTAATTTCATTTGTGATGTCTAAATAAGTTAGAGTACTGGTGTAGTGCCCACTAGCATCACCCCCCCCAAAAAAAAACCCACCAGGATTTTTTTAAAAAACAGAGTTAATTGTTAAGTGAAAGCACAGTCAACAATCTCTTGCGGCCCAAATCTGCTACTCTTGGCTATCTTAAGCAAAGCTTCTCCTGTTTTTCTAATTGTCTTTGTTCACTACCCACATTTGTGGTTCAAAAACACAGTATTCCAGGTTCTGATGGCTCCTTTATTGAGATAGCAATCTTTCGTTGCTACACAGCTATGGTTATTCTTGCTCACCGTAACTCTGGGTGGGATGAGAAAAGGGAGATTTTTGGAGGATTAAAAAAAAAACACCTCTTATTCATAGAGTCTAATATATGCAGGTGAAGACAAAACTAACAAATGTACAAAGACCCATTGTCATGACTAGATAATATTCTAGCCCTTTAAATATTAAGAACTGATTATTAAGAAACTGAATGTAATCATGGTCTTTAATTGAAGTAGTGTCTTGATGAGAATGTGGAGAAAGAGGTTATTTCATGAAAGTTATTTTTCAGCACACTTCTTGAAAGCTTGCAATTCAAAATGGGTAATAAAGCAGTACATTACAGTTCCTCACTTCTGTTCAGTAATGAAAGCCATTCCAGATCGGATTGAATTTATTGTAATTGAAATCATGCTAACAAGATAGGTATGTGTGTATACACACACTTATACTGTAACTAACTTCAACTTTCCTTGCTGTTCTTTCATTCATGCTGCATTTAAAGAGAAGAAAAGGGAATGTTCTCTTTCTGTCACACTCAAATGAAAGAGCTGATGGCACAAGGAAGGGAGATACAGGTAGGTCTCAATGTGGTTAATGAATCCCACGAAATGGTCGCGTTATTCAAATTCACACTATTCAAAGTGATATTTCTACAGAAAATAAGGTAATGGGTTCCAGCTTGATGGAAATAGGTAATGAAAAATTTTAAACATAACTTTTTATACGTATACTAATGAAATATTACAGTAAAGAATAAAAAGAATATACTTTAAAATTTAACAAAGTCAGAGTGGGTTATAGAAAGCAAAATAAAAAGAATTCTACTGTAGATTCAGGCATTCCAACATCTCGTCCTATTTTAATGACCACATTCATGTTGTTCAATTACATCAAATTTCTGCTCTAATGTAATAACAAGCCTTTTGTACTGTTTTCCTCTGACGGAATCTTCCTTTTCTCCATTTTGCACATATGAAGATTAGCAGTGTCTAAAATCCCAGTGGCAACTGCACATGTGCTAGCCTCACAAGAACTGAATTTTGGGTCACATTAAAGGTCAATTTCTAATTTGCACTAAATTGGATATCGCATTATTCAGACTTGCACTAATTGTGACCTACCTGTAAAATGAACTAAGACACATTTACGACAAGAATTCTGCAATCCAGATCCAGTCAGACTTTTCTGGGTGGAAAAAATGCTCTTTTTTGGCCACTGAAAATTATAACTTAATAAATCTATCAAACATAGATGTTTTGGGACTTTCTGACAGTATCCGGTGTAGTGGTCTTGTCATCTCAGCAGAGCTCTTACAAAAATGACAATTAGTAGCTGAGAAACCACAACTCTGAAATAGCTTCTCCCTTTTCATGTGCAATAGAGTTTATTGTCTTTTACCCATCCGCTGAGCAAATAAATTGCACATTTCTTTTAGTCACCAGGAGTCAGGATTGACACAAAAGACCATAAGAGCAGTTGTCTTAAATCAGAATAAAAGGTATAACCTGGGAAAAACCCAATCCACATGGGCTCTGCAATATTGGGAGTTTCTGGAATCTGTTTTCCAAGAAGGCTGAAGGGAGAGCATTAAGGCAAGCTCTGGAAAAGGCCTATCTATAACTGAAGTAAACCAGACGATGCAAATATTCTGCAGGTACAAACCTCTCTATTTCCCTCAGCGGTTGAGCGATCTTTGTCATGTAGCTCAGCTCATTTTATATTCTGTATCTCCAATCTGGTGCCTAATTATTTCCTTGGCCTTATTCACACCATCAAATTAACAGGAACCCAGGAGAATTAGAATTCACTAATATGGATTAGTGTAGCTGAATCCAACACGTTATTGTAGGGCTAAAAAAATATTCACTACTAATGAACCTTAATATGAGCACTTGGATACAACATTATTGGTTTTCCTAAAATTATGTATTCAGATTATAAAGGCATCTGTCATTTTATTGCCAGTACAAGTTTAGAAGCAGAAAAATCCTGGAATGCTATAAGCCATGTATGTTCCACTGTTGTCAGTGCCGGACGCATCCTTTAATTTCTGAATTATATTCTTTCAAGGTTATGATTTAGGCACAGAATAGCCAGAAGGAGAGTTCTCCAAGGAAGAGAATTCAACTAGGAAGACATCCCAAAATGGGATTAAGGACAGATTTGTGGATGGGGGGAGAGAAAAAAGTGGGGGAAAGAAGGCAAAATTCCTTGAGTAAGGTACCAGAGGCAAATGTATGATGGATGTTAGCCAAAATAAGACAAGGGTTTGGAAAGGATTCAGCTCAGCCAAGGATAGGAAACAGTCTGGCCCTTGTCCTTGGAAGTAAGAACCTTGCTTGCCAGGGTCCTATCTGGATTGCCAGCAGCAAGGATCACTCCAGGGTGACTGTCCCAGAGAAATTTTATTCTCTATTCAGGAAAAAGTAAGGGAGAGAAATGTGGGCAGCAATATCCTTGCCTATTAATGCACAGAGAAAAAGTCCCCCCCAACCTCTCCCCTCCAGCCTCCCCACCACCCATGTGCATGTACTGACAGCCAGGTAGGAAAATCACTCTGTGCGCTTGGCTGATACACAAAGGAAAACTCTCCTGCATGTATCAGAAAAGCATGTTGCAGGCAGGACTCAAACTTTTTGAAGTCCTGCCCCCCTGACATCATCCAGACTTCTAACCTAACCCCAAACTACATGCTGTTCCTCACCTTCCAATAAGCATAGCTGTAACAGGAATAAGGTTGCACAGATCCATTTATTTTGGGTCAGCGTGCTTATTCACAAAATCAGTTTAATTTCTCTTCTGAAATTAGAATTTATTTCAAGAGGAAAAACAACACGAGTATTTGGTTTTAAGCCAAAGGCTGCATCTGAGAGAATCAGAGAAGTATGAAATAGGAAAGAATGTTCTGATCCTTATATTACTTTAGTAGATATAAATCCTGTTGTCTCACTTCAGAATGCAAGCTGAATTAAATTTTCAAGACTCCCTAACTAGGAAGTGTAATCTTACCTTTTTATTATACTTCTTGCCTTGTATTTTTCTGTTTTATTGCTCTCACTCTTTTTTAGTAAGTTTATAATCTATCCAAGGAACTCTTTTGCCATTGGGTGGATTAACAGATAATAAATAAGTAAGAGAGTCTGCGTTTTTTTGGGGGGGGGCAGTTTTCTGCTTAGATCTAGATTACTATTTGGCATATCACAAGAATGCTATCACAAGGATGCTACCCCAAAACAAAAAAACTGATATGCAACAGCATTTCTGAATGGAACAGCAATTTTCAATAAACAGAACAGCAATCCACTTGGCCATTATTTTTTGAAACATCCTTATTTGTGTAAAATTGAATATAGTTGGCTATCTAAACAGGTTAATGTTTTATTTCAGTGTGAGCAGCCTTTTGAGAATTTAAATGAATTCAACGTTTAAGAAGCTATTACTGGGAGTTTGAATTAAACTCAAGCAATGGAACCTTGGATTCTTCCTGAAATTATCATCTCCTCTTCTTCAACTGGATGTATGCAGATGTAGCCCAGGTAAAGTAACTTCATGTGCAGCAGAAGTCATTCTGTGTGTCTAGAGTCCTTGAGACTAAAAGGGCTTGCACCTTTCATAAATAAATAAGATAATGCCAATGTTCTGCAAGGCTGGGAATTGTGTTTTTTTTGGTTAGGTGTTATGTATAGATAGTTTAATGAGGCAGATTGAAGGGCAGAAGGGAGTGCTATCAACAAAACAAATTATTAATCAACTCTGTTATCCAGTGGCCTACTTTACAGTCAAGATTTGGAAATCCCGGGTTAATTTTGTTTGCTTTCCTCACCCCTCTTATCAGAAGAAAAATAAGAGTCACTTGGATTGAGATGGGCGGCTACAGAAATTGCATGCATGCATAAATAAATAAATAAATAAAAACAATTTGTGCCAACTTTAATCCCAATGCACTTGGCCTTGGCTAAGAAGCAGCCTGTCTTTTCCAAATTATTCTTTACAGCAAATGGTTCCTTGCTCCTTCAATATGTGAAGGGAGATAAAGTTTAACTAACATGGAGTCCTTCAGGACTGATTTTTCAAATACTACAACCTTCTATAGCAACCCCTTAAATTTACGTCCACCAACTTGATGCCTTCTAGCTATACTGAACTCCCATTAGAACTAAGGTAATGACTCTAGCTTGGGGAAGACTAGTTTAAAACTAACCCCACTTTTGTTCTTTTCCCAAATCAGTAATAATATTTAACTTACTCTATTTACATAGGAAAGCTAACGCTTGGAAATATGTTTCCATTTTGACTGCAAGTGATTAAATTCTGTTTTTCAAAGGATGGTCCCTGTATTAAGATATTCAGCCTCCCTGTCCCCTGTTCTTTACCTTAACTTACATACACAACAAAATTTAAGAAATACATCTGGATTCAGAATGTAGACAAGCTGCAATACAACATAAGAGGTCTCTTGTTGGTTCAGACTTCTTAGGAAGCTCACAAGCAGAATAGAACAGTGATATATGTTTTCTCTTAATAGGGAGGTCAGCTATTATAGCATAACAATCACTGATCTTTAAAAAATAAAACATATCTT